GCCATGTGCTGCCTTCGCCATGGGCAGAGCATGCTGGGTGCCGGGGTGGGCGCAGTGCTGGGGGGAAGGGGCTGCGCAGCGGGCAGCAGGGCTGCTGCCAGGCCTCCCGGTGCTGGGGGTGCTCCCGAGGGACGGGCTCCTGCTCCAGGCCGGCACCTCTCCGGAGCCCATGTCCTCCCCGGTTCTGGAGTATGGCAGCCACCCAGAGCAGCTGCCCAGCACCAGCTCCCGGGAGCTTTTGCTTATGTGTCCCCTGAAATTATCTGGTAGCGGGTAAGCATCTGGCTTGGAGAGAAGTAAAGGCAGAGCCTCCTGTGTCGGCACTGCACCTGTCAGAGACTTGGGAGAGCACGGTGTGGTTTAGCAAAACAAGCAGTCATCCGGCAACATGACATAACACCCGTCCTGTACGAGACACTCATGAATGCATTCAATTCGTACAGGTAACGAAGCAGGCGCTGTAGCAGAACCTCCTTGAGGGGTAGTGCCAGTGGGCTTTAGGGGCAAACCAAACAGCGCTCCCAGCTCACGAATCTGGGTTCGTTTCACCAGATTTTGCTCAAAGCCTGTTTTACACTGAAGGAATCGTTAGACCTCGCATTCACAGCCCTCGGCTTCTGCTGCCAGCATAAATTACGCTAGTATATGTGACAGCACAGATTCCTTTTTTCCTATGGAGTTTGTAAAAGCTAGGTATGATGCTTTTAACTGATTGTTCTGTAGTGATCTTTTCACTGCATAATATTATGCTTCAAATTTTCAAGACTCTATTTCTAATTGATAAGTTTTCCTGCCTTTACGTTTTTTTACCCCACAAACAGAAATTTCGTTCAGGGAGGGAGCAGCACACAAGAATTATCCTTTTGGGTCTTTTGTTCTGGATATTTCACAACTTCTTTAATTGCCCTAATTATTGGATTATAATTTTGCAAACTTTACTTCCTTTCAGAACACATATTCTGTGCTACCATTTTTGATGAGTACCTACAGGTCTCTCTTTGTAATTCTGCTTTTGCATCCATTTAATTACAGTGATTTTGCTGACTGCCAGACTAGCAAAGCTCCTTTCAGATGTTCTCCACTCACCATGAGAGCAAATTCCAACAATCTGATGTAGGACCCAGCCCACCTTCAGCTAAAGACCCGCTGACGCCATAGGGAAAACATGCTGTGTATCACTTGCTCTATTTTGGGCTCACATTTTTCTCCTCCCTTGTCTCTTGTGAGCACATGAAAATCAAATCTTTTCAGAAGACTTTTTGCAGATTCAGTGACACAGATTCTGCATGTCAAATCACACTCTTGAGTTAGTCATATCACAGCCAATCTTGGCAGAACACAAATATGATGTGTTATTTACCCCCCAAAAACCTGCTGGAGAGCCATCAAAAAGAAAGCCAGCTGAAAGTAAATGGTATGACTCCAACGGCACAGAGTCAGACCAGTTGAACAGCAGGCTCTATAATCAGGTATTTAAGACATCTTTGGTCTGCTCCTACTCCCACATGATTCAAAGTGAAAAAACCAGGAAGCTGTTGTAGGAAGGGAAGGGAGAAGACATGTCTAGAGGGAACTGACCTCAGTAAGACCAGTAGGTGAAGACCTAGGTGAAGACTATTTTAGTGTTCATGGGGACAGAATTAAACCATTGACATGAAAATAATTGTTTCTGTATTTGTTAAAAATTCACACAGTGGCTCAGGTGCTTTTTCTTACGCTCATGTTCCCAGACACTTCTGTCAAGAGGCCATCTGATGCAACCTGGTCCAAAATCTGCCAGGAAATGGTCCCTGACACATGCTGTCCTCCTGACCTGTGCCAGGCATGTTATCTCAGAGCACAAGCTAGCACTGTCCAAAACCATGGCAGGGACCAGGAGAACAGTGATATGTCAGAGTTTGTCCTCCAGCCCTGCTTTGTTCAACAGTATAGATGTAAAGCTGTGCTGCCGTCATGCCTTGAAGAGGCTCCAGGCAAGTTGTGCTGGCAGTGGATGACAGAGCAGGATGCTCAGGATAGCCCTGCTCATTCTTGGCCTGATCATGGGGAGGCAGAATGTGGAGATGTAAAGCCTGATCTCACCCAGACCCAAAGCCAGATAGCCTCCACCATGCCTTGAACCATGGATCTCTGACCTCACAATTTCATTGATTGATAATAAAAGTTACCTCAATCTCCTGTATTCTTTGTAATCTTGGAGAAGATGGAGAAAAAGCTGTTTGTGCTTTTTGGATTGATCTTCTTGCTTCTGCTTCTAATTTTGTTTCTGGACGTGGATGGTCATGAGCTCCTTTGGACTTTAGAAAGTAATTATGATATGTTAAAGTTAGAAACAACCATGTCATTAGTCTTAAGGGAGCAGAATTTGTAGCACAGGCCAAAACCACACATATGGCCTGATGTAACACTTTGTATTTAATAAGGCAGTGTGTGCTTGCAGCGCAGAAAGCCAGCCTTATCCTGGGTTACATCAAAAGAAGCATGACCAGCAGGTTGAGGGAGAGGATTTTCCTCCTCTGCTCCACTCTTGTGAGATCCCACCTGGCGTAATGCTTTCAGCTCTGGAGTCCCCAACACAAGAGGGACGTGGACTTGCTTGAGGCAGTCCAGAGGAGGGCCCTGAAGATGCTAAAAGGGCTGGAGCATCTCTGCTATGGAGGCAGGCTAAGAGAGTTGGGGTTGCTCAATGTAGAGAAGAGCAGGCCCAGGGGAGACCTTCCAGTACCTAAAGGGGCCTACAAGAAAGCTGGAGAGTGACTTTTTACAAGGTTATGTAGTGATGGGACAAGGGGGAATCACTTTAAACTGGCAGAGGGTACATTCAGATTAGATATTAGGAAGAAATGCTTTACTGTTATATATAACACACAGATGGCATTTTCCACAGATAGTCCCTTGGGTAGAACTATTTCCTACTCTAAAATAGCCTCATGCTTATGCATGGTGCCTGGGAGAAAAGGCTGAGATAACATGGCATTTCTGATTTTCTGAGACTTTGTTGGTTTCTATGTACCTGAGGCAAAGTGATTCAAAATCAAGGGGTTTTCATGGGAGCCTAAGAGAAAAATCTAACATGCTGAAGGGTCATAATAGCATAGGCTAATTCAGGTAGGAAGGGAGCTCTGGATGTGTAGCTCAACCTCCTGCTCAGGCAGGATTAACTTCAGGGTTAGATCAGGCTGCTTGGGACCTTGCCCACTCATTGAGAAAATTTTTCTCCTTACAGTCATTTGATCTTGTCATATTCAATGACCTTTATTTGTTGGAACAAAACCTTTCCTTAATCAATCTTAAAAAGCAGTCTTTAAAGTTAACTTGCACAGTGTAAGGTAATTTTATACCAACCTGAAAAAATATGAATTGTCCTTCGTGCCTCCAGAAGTTGGTAACCGGGTAACCCCCGTGGCCTCGGCAGGAAAGGAGCCGCAGGGGCCCACTGCAGTTTGGACAGCATTTTCCTGGAGCAAAAATCGTGGGAAATATTTTCTATATGACACTGATCAGATGACTCCCATGTGGTAAAATGGCTCATTGGTAGCGGATTGCAACTTCTGTTTTGGGGCTTAGAAACTACACTGAGAAAAAAACTACGCAAAAAACTTTCAAACATAACCAAAAATCAGTATAAGCAAGATAATAATTGCCTTTATTCTGTTCCAGTATTAAATATAATTGGCAAAAAAATATTTCTATTATAGCTTTAGTATCATCTTTTTCATTTGTTATCATGGTCTGTTTCAGTTTTTTAACTTGGCAGTGTCCAGAATTTCATGTGTTCTTGTCTGATTTTGATAGAGGACATCATTCTGACCTCAGTAATTGCTTGAGCAATACCTCTCTTTATCCAAAACATTCATCAGATCCAGAAATCAGTATGTGCTAGCTCTACTGACCAGTCAACAATTGTTTGGAATGGTCTCATTAAAAATGTGCGTGCAGCTCATGTTCTCTATTTTCAGTGTGCTGCTCCAGTGACATGACTATGAGGCGTATTTTCCAGCCATCATAATTTATGAGCAACTTCTTTCCTGCAAGACTTGTCTCCTGAGTTAGTTTTGGGCCCACGCAATAATGAAGCTACACTCAGGTCAATAGGAACAGCACAGCAGGAAGCTGCCTGCACTGCACAGCTTTCTCAGTAGCCTCAATCATAGGCCTGAGAAGGCTGGGAATCAACCTGCAGCCATCAGAAATAGAAATTAAAAAACAAAAAAGAAAGAAACGTCCCCTCCCCCTCCCAAGCAAACAACTTGTCGCAAAAGTAAGAAATGTAAAATGCATTGTTCTAAAATTCAGAGTTGCATTTGAATATAAGGAATGGCAGCTGGAAGGTAGGATAATCTCAAGGATATCTTCTAGTTTGATTTCTTTCTTGTTGTGTTCACTTAAGAACTGTCATATAATGAACAGCCATGCTCATACTCACGCTGTTGTTTTTGCCTTGCTTTATCACATATGGCTGGTCTTAGGTAGATCTTCCTCCCATCCAAGGTTGAGCAGTCATTGCCACAGACCACCACCCCAAGGCAGGACTTTTTTAAGATGCGAGAGTTGTGGTTGTTGGTGTTTCTCATTGCCCAGCTGCTGTGGTGCCTCTGAGCATTTTTATCTTCTGAGCTATAGATATGCTTTACATAGGAATCTGGCCATTCTTGAAACCCATCTATCTGTCTTACGTCCTGTGGAGAGACCAAAGCAAGCCATGTTTTAGGCTGAGGAAGAGAAGAGCTCATGCAAGAGCCCAGCAGACCTGGTCTTCTGCTGGGTGTCCTCTAGCCTAGGTGAATCCAGCACCCTGTCACGTGATGCTGATTGGCAGGAGGGAACAGTGGAGAGAAGGCAGAAAAGCCACAGCTCCCCATGACTGCCTGTGAGCCCCAAAGCACCGGGAAAGCCTGGCCAGGAGGTTGTTCTCACTCACCCATGGGTCCAGCTCCCAGGTACAGGACCTACTTGGGAGAGGAAGGTGAGATGCCTGATGTAAAACAGCAGATACTTTCCTTGCAGGCAGCAGTCACCACCTGACTAACCACTGTTAGCCTTTCATAGCAGACATCCTGCTTTGCCTTTCAGGCTATTCGCAGCAGTGTTACGCTGAATCACCTGGCTTGATTTGGCTCAGTTAACTGGAAAAAGGGCAAATACTGAATCAGATGGAGACTATGCCCACATTTAGGTGGGTGTTTAGTTCTGGACTTTGGTTCGTTTTGGTCTTTTGCTGTGAAAGACTTCCACGGTGATTTTTCTGAAGTCCAAAACAAAGATACCTGGCATCCTGGTCAGGTTTTATTTTCACTGCTATGGACTAAGCTACAAAACCAAAGGACAACACTGTAAGGAAAAATATAAATAAAACTCAATGGAAAAAACACAGACAACAAACAAACAAGGGACCAAGCACGCATCACCTCAGCTGGTACAGTCAACACAGTGAAATACGTAAGTTGCAAAGCACTTAACATATCCATAATGGTTTTGAGGGAAAAGATCTTGCAGGAGTATAAAACTTACTAGGAATGTCCTTAAAATTGCTGATCCCAGCCACTGAGAGCCATTGCAGCAGCATGAACATCAACTGAAAAAACTCTTGTGCTCTTTCTAGAGCCGCCAGACAGCGTAGGGAAGGGTGTGGAGGAAGCCTCCAGGCCAAAATGCAGGTGAAGGTGACCTTGGAGGGGAGGGCAGGGAAGGAGGCAGCCTGGAACACGGAGGTTTTGTGTGAACAGCAGTGGCATAGTAGGGAAGAAACTGGGATCAGGTAAGAAGGCAGAGTTAGGAGGTGAAAGGCAGAGCTGGGTGCTGAAGGATCGCAGCAGGAAGAATCTGGCACAAGTATGTTGCGTTGAGGGATATGGAGATGATGTTTGCATGCAGGGTGCTGTGGGGCTTTCAGTGGAGAGCATGGTTGAAATTTTTAGGTAAGAGGACTAGAAAAGGACTGAGGGATGGAAAGATCACTATTCTGCCTCTCAGCAAACCTCTGCAAAACCAAAGCTTTTCCTAGGTGCTCATGGAAAGAG